CCACAGTTCAGGAAGTGATTACAGTTATCTGATGGTTTCACATTGTCCCAGTGATGCAGGAATGAGCAGCATTCCTGCCCCAGTCAGCTGCAGCTGGGATCACCCAGTGGCACTCACAGCCACTGCACACCCTTTGCACTGGTGGGATCCTCGGCAGCTGTGGCTGGACATCAGCTCCAGAAAAAGAGCTCAGCTCCTGAATTTACGGCTTCCTTACATCAGGAGATGTAAGCTGCAGTACAGGAGATGAGGTCTGCTGTCTGTCCTGCACCTGCAGTGGGTATTGCCAGAGGCTTAATGGGCAGTCCACGATCCCCGCCTGCCAGCATCGCTGGTGTGTCACCTGGGCATAGCCCAGATTTTGTTCCCAAGTCTGTGACAGACCATGTGTCACTGTGCAGACCCTAAGGAAAGGGACACGGTCCACCCTGCACAGTACAAATAGCTGCTAATAACATACTTTCCATCTAAATATTCCAGGCTGATGGCATTCTCAGACTGTTGCAGAGAAAGTGGGGAAGGGTAAAGCATCTCAGGGTAGGATGTTTGGGGACAGGAATATGAGAGGTGAGGAGTTCCTACCTGCATCATGATGCTGGGGCATCTGTAGATATCATGATGAAGGAGGATTAAAATGCTTAATTTCACTTTTGAAAGTATTTTGGAGTATTTTGTTTTACTTTCCCTTTAAACTGATAGCAAATTAGCCTGCTGCTTGGAACTGAACATTAACCCATCACATTTGTTTTAACCCACTCTGGGATAACTGAAAATTTTTAATTTGCCCCAGGAAAATCCACACCAGATTGTGTCCTGGTGTGGACTTGACAGTTTTTCCCTATAAATATTCAATGAGAATTAATGTAACACAACTCAAAAACAGTAAAAGTTTAAAATTACCTCAGAGTGCATTTAACCTACAAATGACCTACAGAATGGGGCTCAGAAAGTATGTGCAGACTAATCAGCAGCAGATGTCTTTGGGACATCTAATTTGACATCCATAACTCTCCAGGATAATTAGAGGCTCTGGGTAAGGCATCACAGCCACCCCAAATAGAAGTCCATCATGTTTGTGAACAACTTGAGCCTTTGTCCAAGTGGTCAGGTATGCCAAGGGTGCCAGCAGCTCCCTAGTAATGTGATTCCAGTGACAATCCATGGTGTTAATTGTTGGTGCAAATAGAACTGGTCTGTGTAATCTCACCAGGTTTGGACACCAATCTTGTCAATCTGTGCACAAGACATATGAAAAGTAAATCCATGGTTTGATAGCAGGCCAATCCTTTCACATCTGACTGGTCTGTGGTTAGTGTAACACAAATCACAGGGGTTTTCTTAGCACCTGAGATACAGGTATTTGTACAAATAAGGAAATGAATACAACCCCATTAGGAAGGAGGTGCAGCAGAGTCTGGAGAGCTGTCCTCTAGTTAGGTCTTTGTTTGAGAAGGTACCAGTAGAGTGGTGAGAACTGCAAGGAGTTGTCAGGGAGTGAGGAAAGGGACTGCAACATGGGCCCTTGATGGAGTCAAGGGTGACACAAGTCAGTGTGTCACCTACTGCATGACCCCTGCAGCAACTGCACAGCACCCACCTGTCTGTGGAGTGTCTTTCAGTGTCAGCTCAGCGTACACATGAGCTGGGAGGTCCCTGACGGCATCACCCTCATGGGAGGGCCTGGCTGCCTGCCCTGACCTGAGCCACAAGCCCTCCTCACCTTTTGTACATCTGGGTGGGACAAGCGAGGAACCAGAGAGTGTGGGGCCCCAACCATGGGGAAGTGGTTCTCTGGCCCCATTTGGCATCTTGGTTCATCCTCACCAGGGATTCAGGGCAGGCCAGGCTCCCCACAGTCCAAGGAAAACCAAAAAATCCCTGCAAGGACTCAGAGCATTCATGGCCAGGAGACATCCATAACTCTGTTCTGGAAGATGGCCAGGGTCAGAGGGGATGGGCCAGGGCATTCAAGCCGTGTCTCAGCATGAGTAGGACAAAGTTGGGTTGTGGCCAGAACTTGCTTTTAAGGAGAAAGGCACCACATCAGCCCTGCCCAACTTGCAATCTTTCTGCTTCCTAGTTCTTTGTTCATCCTGGTTAGACCCAGAAGGCCTGGTGGCAGAGGCATAGATGGGCAGACGCAGCAGGAGGCTGGTGGCCTGCAGGCCTGGACGGAGTCAGGTGTCCTCCATTCTTGGCACCTTTGGCCCAATTGCCCCATGTGTAAAATACCTTGAGTTTCCAGAGCAACAAATGAGCTGTTCCTGTCTGAAGTACTGTGTCTAGGCCCTGGAGTGTAAACATCTCTGACAAGCTGTTGGAGGGACTGACAATCTAGTCTTACTGGATTATGGTAACATTTGTGAAAAGATTTCCACCTTCTGTGGAAAGAAGAGCAAACCTATACTTTCCCTTGGTTTAGGTGAGAGTCTCTGGAGTTTTCAACAAGTTGGACTAATACATTTAAGATGAAATTTGATGCAATGTCAAATGATTTTCACTTCAAAACCTGTTCTTTTGGAAAATAAATTATGGGGAAGAAAATGAATAATTCATTATTCATTCACTTAAAAAGAAGCTGTTGGCAATGGTTTAGTCAGATGCCGTGCCTTTGGCTGGTAAAGATAATAAAGGAGTAATGAATTAGTCATCAATACTGCACCGAAAGTAAAAGGTCAAATTTGTCATTGGACTAAAACCAAAAGGTTGGATTTGTTCTGTTATTCTAAAATGGTGGTCTTCAGGCCCCCTTTGATTTTCACATTGCAAAATAGTTCCAGCAGAGCTTCAGACTCTTCCATGGAATATTTTAACCTATTAAATGTCCCTGCTTTATCTCTGTTGCTTTTTCAAATCTCATCAGGAATAGTTTGTGCACCCTCAACTAGCCATGTAGTACTCTCTGGTACAGAGAATTGAATCTGGCCTCTGGTTTTACAGACCCACAGAGATTTCCTTGGGGAATTTGTTCCACAGCAAAGATTCTTGGATGAAATCCTGACTTGGATTGTCCAAACTGCTGTGAGGCAGGATTACAGTGATGCTAGGATTTTACTACCTCAACAGCTAAAAAAGCTGGTGCCTCCTGGTCCCCCTGCCATTGTACTTTTCCTTTGCATGCAGATTATTTCTGTCCTGTGTGCACTTCACGGGACTGCAGGATAAGTCATCTTTCAAGAGTCTATAACCTCTATCCTGCAACAGCAGCACCAGGAAGCAGCACAGAAACAACCAGTTTTTCTGAGACCTGAGAAACTTCTGTTTGCATCACCTGTAAAAACTCAGAGACTCTTAAACCTGACTGGTTTTGGCAAAGGATAAAGCAGTGCCAGTCCTACTTGAATCTGCTATATAAATTCACCTCCTAAACTCATTTTGTGCAGTTTGCATAATTCCGTCTCCTATACAATTTGCTGTCTTCAAGCCAGCATTTGCAAGTTTCACACTTTTTCTCATAACTATTCAGGTTGAATTTGTCAATATGACTTCAACAGCAGATCAGAATGCTGGCCTCACCTACTCAGAACTCCAGCATCACATTCCCAAGGGGCAAAACCAGTGATTATTGGTAACATTACTCCAAAGAGTATTACTTTCTATGCTGTAATAAATATGACAAATGTGATACCACTATCTGAATAATATTTTCCATACCCCTTGCATTTCTCTTTCTTTAAAAATATTTAGCACTTCTGCATCACAGCTGCCTTAATTGCTGGAAATCTGTCTTACCTTTGGAAAGCAGTGAATGTATTAACATGTTGCTGCTTGCACTCTGCTTACTCACTTCCAGACGTAGTATGATTTAATCTAGATTTATAATATCATGAAATTTTATGCCTCAGCTCGCTTAAGTTGACACTGGCAACATAGGATGTAAATTACTTATCAGCAATGCTTATATACTGGTATGATGAGCACCATCCAAAGCCCAGGAGAGCAAAAGAAAGAAATTGAGAGTGTAGATTTTACCACTTACAGAACTTAATTGGCCAGGTAAGAAAAGACTTACTAAAAATTAATATAACTTCTTTGTTTCACTCTCCCAGGGATGATATGAATTGTCGAAAGTGTCAAGGGGGATACTCCCACCGGAAGTAAACATATATATAAATTAAAACTACACAAACCCCAATTATTTGCTCACACAGATGTTAATGCTACTGTTAGCACAATGCTTGTCTAAGGAAGCCTAGGTGCTGTAGCTGCATGGAAATCTTGGTGTTTGGCATATTAAACTTAGGGCTGTAGCTCTTCTTATTTTAAATGAAAACCTGGAAGCATGGAGGGGAGGCAGGGACTTGGAGGCGAAGCAGCTCCCCAAGCAGGCAAAAACAGTGCTTTACATCAAAGTGTCCGAGCAGAGCAGGACAGAGCTGTTGTGTGTTGGAGATGTGTGTGGGTCTCTTTCTGAGTGAAGTGGGGGAGGCTGGGAAAGGAGATTATGTCTTCGGCTGTATACTTCAGGGGGTGAGAGAGCCAGAGGGGTCTCAACACTGCCTTCAACCCCATGGGTTAAAGCCCTCAGGGATCAGTCTTGTAGTGGGATCAGGAATGTTTTCTCCATGACAAAGCTCTTCCAGGACATTCAGTTTTGTGGCACAGTAATGCTCATTTGGAGAATCAGTATTGCAATGGATACTGCCCCTCACAAACATCAGTGATGTCTGAACAGCATTGTTCCCAATTCCTCATTTTCACCATCAGCCATAGAGAAAGGTACAGAGACATTCTCAAAGCATCAGTGAATCTGGATGAGCTTTCTAACTTCTCACCTTGTGTACAGTCCTGAAGGATCAGAAAAAGATGTGTATCTGTAGGATTTCATGTTCCCATTAATTGCTGATCTTATATTGTTGCAGTCCTTTTCATTTTTTTTGTCTTTATTGACCTATTTTCTGCTTTGTGCTTTGTTCAAATTTTTTTCCCTACAGCAGAGAAATTGCAAATGCAATGTTATCATGAGCAATGTGCTGACTTTTTTTTCTTATCTACCTTAGGACATTTATTTACCCTTTCTTCACTAGAGGCAGACCTTTCCCACTGCAATTGCTTTTCTTTGGCATGTTATTCTGTATCTATAATGGCTTCCTCCAGGGGTACTACCTGATTTACTGCGCTGAATATCCAAACGATTGGTGCACCGACATCAGATTTACATCAGGTAATTACAGCTGCAGGATTCCTAAGATCTAATCTCCAAGCAATTTGTAAGCATTTTGAATTATGTCCTAATCTTCAGTGAACATGTGAGTCAAATCTGTTGTGATGGAAATCAGCATAAGACCTGCCTGCTGGCCCAGATAAAACAAGTAAATGTGCAGGGTTTTTTTGGGTTTTTTTTTTGGTTTTTTTTTTCTAGGCAGCCAGCTTTGAAGGTATATGATGTTATGTGTTATTCTCAAATCATGAGCCTTGTTTTACTGACACCACTCCAGAGCCTCCTGCTGCTATGGGCCATGGAGATGCAACCTCAGGCCCCAGGTGCATGAGGGTGTGCCCTTGCTCAGCCAGAAGTGTGCACCCAGCAGTGGCTGCATGCGAGCGCAAGCTGTGTCTTTCTCTTTTCTGCCACGGAGTTCTGCACTTGATGCATATATTCTGAGTGAGAGAGAAAAGGAGGGCAAAACCCCAGCATGAATGAGGCTTTAGGGACAAAGAGCTCTTTTTCCTCCTGTAAGGCACAGGGGAAGATTAGAGATCACGCACAGTCTGATTGTATGTTAATACGATTCCTTTATATTCCACAACTTAATAGCCTAGCTGAATTTCACCCTTTAAAATCCCTCAGAGAATAACTGAACAAGAGCAGTTAGATGGCATTACAGATTTGGTACCGTACTGTAGAGAGTTTTTGTTAAATATCAACATATAAATGAAGATTTTGAAAAGCGGGGATGTCTGAGGAAATATTTTAGATATGACAAGCGCAAGCTAACCAAGGTACTCTCTGTACCCTGTTTCAGACCATGGACGCAAGTCCAGTCTTTTCAGACAGCATCACATGTTAAAAATTCTGGACACTGTTTAGTAAGACCTTACATCCTCACATATCCAACAAAGAAAACACCATATCACTTAATTTGCATGATAAATAAAATATATATTTAATGTTAAAAAGAAAAAAAGAAAATCAGCATTAGCAGTACTTGAAATATTAAAGAAAAAAACAAACAGTATATTCTTCCTCTATAGACCCTTACCAACTTTTTATTGCTGCTGGAAGTGTTGAGGTTTTATGAGCATTTAGTCTTTTATCTATACATTGTAGTGCACACACTAGTTCCTTTCTTGCTTTCCAGTCATTGTCAGAGGTGGTTTGCTCTGTGTCCAACGTGGCATGAAATGTAGGGCGTGTCACCTGCAGGATTTCTCAATCAAATGCCTCTGGTTTTTCAGTTAAATGGAACCTGGTCAATGGAGCACTCTGGCCAGATAATGTCAACATCCTTCAGCAAGTACCTGCTTTCCATCCACGCCCATAGCTCTGTCCAGGCAGCCTCACTGGCAGTGGACTGAGAGCTGCTGAGATGCAGGCTCCTTTCCCAGCTCTAGTGATGTGCTGGATCTGTTTGTGTCTCTGTGCTACTCTTTCCTCAGCAGTGAAATGAGGGTATCGGTACTTGTCCACAGCTCGGTGCTTACTCTGCAGTAAAGTCCACATCTGCGGCTGGCTGTCATCAGCTGTGGTGTCCATGGGGTACTTTATGTTCCCACTTGAGTATTCAATAAATGGTGACTATGGTCACCTGGGAAGTTCAGCTGAAAGTGCTCTGGTGTCACCAGTCACCTGTGCTTCTCCTGTTCAGTGGCTTTTTGGTAGCAATGCATCTTTTTGGATTGAAAAAGACTCCACCCACCTCACATTATGACCCCTATCTGTCTGCTGCAAAGCCAAGCCTCACAAATGAGCTTGAGCAGGGATATCTAGACAGAACTGTCTTTGTAATCCATTTCTTGCTGGTTTCTTAGGCCTCTTCTTATTTCTGCTGGGAATGGGAATCAACATTCACAGTGATCTCCTGCTGCGCCAGCTGAGGAAACCCGGGGAAGTCACTTATAAGATTCCTCAAGGTACATTTGTATTATCCCCTATTTCCTTGAAGGAGGTAGGGCAGAATAAATAATGTTTTTTGACTGAATTCACAGGAAAGTGGCAATAATGGCAGAGATGCTGCTCTTGCACAGGCTCTTGGTTCAGACACCTCCCTAAGCTGCAGGGACTGGTGTGAGCTGGCTGCAGACAGTCCAAGGGAACCAGCAAGATTATCTGGAAAACATGAACTGCGAGGAGAGATTTTAGGAAATTGGCTGGTAATTCTGAGAAGACTGAAGTGGGACACAAGAAGAGGATTTTAACTTTGCAAAAAGCATCTGCAAAGAAGGAAATAGTCTTCTCCATGCCCAGAAAGAAGTAGTAGTGGACTTCTTACTGTGCAAAAGGTGGATTCAAGCTTTAGGGGAAAATAATAACACCAAGGATGCGAGGTGCTGAATTGCCTTTCCAGGAAATGTCTAGCTCTGTAGAGCAGTATGGATGGGGATCCAAGAATTTCTTGGTCTTGGTATTGACTCCTTCTGCTGGCTTGTTATGGATGGTGATTATATCTGTCCCAGAGTTTCTCACATCCTATATTTACCTGCCTCTTGTAAATGTTGCAAAAAACTGAGATACAGAATTTGCATCCCCCAAATGTAGTAAAGTTGCAAAATATTTTTAGGGCATAAAAAGAATTAACTACTGCTAATTATTATAATTTAAATCTAATAATGGTCATCCTTAAGTTATTTTCCAAATGAAAATAAATGACTGTGAAAATGCTGGAAACATCTGAGTCAGAATGCCCCTTGATTCTTGTATTTATACAAGAATTTCAAGCAAGATCCCCTTTTGGCATGGCTCCATGGCTTCAGGAAAGTGTGTTTAGGTTGCTGCCATGAGCTGAATAAGAAAAGCTACATGTTCTGCTGCTGACTTTATGTGAAAAAACCTTTCATGTGCAGGAGATGACCGTAAAAATTAAATATTTTGTCTGTTGCTGCAGGAGGACTGTTCACCTATGTTTCTGGAGCCAACTACTTTGGAGAAATTGTGGAATGGTTTGGTTTTGCCATTGCAACTTGGTCTCTACCAGCCTTCGCCTTTGCCTTTTTCACTCTTTGCTGCATTGGTCCACGTGCTTATCACCATCACAGGTATCAAACTGTTCCTTGCCATATGCTGCTACTTCCTCTTGGAATGCAGTTTGCAAAATGCCAGGGAGGACCAGAGCCAGGCTTTGGGATAGAACTGAAATTTAATGCCATGTAGAGGAGGTGTATTGGCTTATTTGTGTAAGGCAGGCAGTCAGCTGGAGCCCCTGTCAAGTGGGCCTGGCCTGACAGTCATTTCATCTGACGTGAGCTGCATCACTGCTTCCACTGTACTAGAGCCTCTTCTTACTGAGCCTCATAAATGTGACCCGCTCCTAAGGTTTCCCTTGCAAACTCTGCAGTCCTTTGGAGAAGATATGCTCTGAATTCCTAAAATTTCTACTTTAGGTCTGTTAGAACCTTAACAGTATTATCAATTAATTGAGTAACCAGGTGTAAACAGTTTCTGAACTGCTCTTTTGCAGAGTAACACAATGAGATAACAAATAAAGGCAGCTTGGAGCAGTTTTAAGGTTCCTCAGCTGATCTGTATTGAAACTGTGCAGTTTCCCTCTATGTATGCAGGTTCACTGTCTTGCTTATTTTCTTTCAGGTACTATCTCAAGACATTTACGGACTATCCAAAATCAAGGAAAGCCTTGATTCCTTTCGTTTTTTAATTATTGAAATATGGACTCTTTGTTTTGTTTTTATAGGATTTTTTTTCCAGTTCATGGTTTTAATGCTAGATCTGACTATTATTAATTGTATAGATGATATCCCAAGATTGTAACAGACAAGAAGGTAATTTGGAATGGAAGTCCTTGTTTTAATTGGAGGTGAAATTGCAGATAGTTATGGGCTAAAGGACTCCACAAAAAACCTATTTGTTTCTCAGTGCAGTTCTGTCTATGAAAAATAAATACATAACTGCATTGACATCAGAGAAAAAACACTGGTTAAATATTGTTGCAGAAAGGTAGAAGATAATCCCATTACTTTGGAGGAAGTTTTCAGCACCCACTCCAATTTATATCACTTCTGCAACTGCTTCCTTCTGCCTCCATGCTGTAGCACATGTGTCCTCACCCTGCTGGCAGTGCCCTATGTGTTGCCACACTTGAAACCAGAGAAGGGGTCTCATTTGCCCCCAAAAAATTATCCAGCCCATTATTTTTCATCTAAAAGCCATCTTAACTCCCAGAAACACAGTGCAACAAGAGGGAACTTGTGCTGGCACAAGGCTTGGAGCAGTGTGCCATGGCACAGAGGTGAGGTGAGGTTGATGGAGATGGAAGCTGGCACAATGTCTGTGTTCCTTCCTTAAGCATTATTTTCTTCATTGTCAGATGATTAATCTTCAGCCATCAAGGTTTGTTTTTTAAATGTACTTTGTTATAGTAATTGCAGCTCCATTAGCATTTCTTTTCTCTTGCAAATCCAGATTTTTTTTTCAGAATAAAATTTTTTCCACTCAAAGCCACTCAGTTGTTGTTCATAAAAAGATTTGAAATGGTGATGTATGACAAAAATTACAACAAATAAAAAGCTCTGTGTTGAAGAAAATGTTCTCTGACGCTGGCAGTACATTTTGTCTGTGGAGAATATTTTCAGATACTTTTATTAGGAAATGATATAGAGATACTATTCAAGTTTTACAAAAAGACAGGATGCCTCTTCTTAATTTCAGGGTAGTTAGGAATTTTCCAAAAAGTGTCATTAACCCTGATAGGAAGAGGTGTCTCCTTGGATGCTGATTTTAGTTACCCTTTAGGGCATAAAATCCTACTAAGAATTGTGCTGAGTAGCTGAAAAGAAAATGACCAGACTGCACAAGTGAAACATACTGCCTGCTGTTGGAGCAACCTGATTGATTGTATGCAATTTCCTCCAAAACACAATAAAATTTATGTGAAACACAGAGCTGTGTTAGCCTATAATTTACTGTTTGCAGAAACAAGTCTCTGTGACCTTGCTTGCCAACTTCTGCTCACACTGGCTTCCTCCTTCTGGACAAACCCTCCCTTCTTTGCTCAGATTGTAAATCATCTTCACTAGCACAGAGCAGAGCAGCCAGCTGAGGCTGGGTCCCACTGCACAGTCCCTCTACAACCCACAGGAGAGCCACGTGTAGGCAAAGGTCAGGGAGGCAGAAAATAAGAGACAAGCAAAATTGTTGTTGCATGGGATGAGAGTTTCTACATTTGCACCACAAACATGTTTTCCTCTGGTTACCTTAATTAAAGCAAAGCTGGAGGCAATGAGGATACCAGGCTGAAGAGTATGACCCCTTCCCGAGGGAGCAGATGCTGAGTGCGAGCAGCAGCCATGCTCTCCAAAGCTCCTTCCCTCAGCATATCCTCCTTGATGACTCCTTCTTGCAATTTTTCCACTCCAAAGCCTCACAGGTGGTGAGAGAGCAACTAGACCTGAGTAGCAGTGTTCCTAGCTGCTGTCTTCTCCATTTATTTCTGAGCTGGGGGAGAGCAGGGAACATGCTCTGCCTCACCCTTCTGACCAGAACAGGACTTGTGCAAACTTCTCTGTCCCTCCCAGCTACCCCTCACATCCAAACATGACTTTTTCCTGCATTTATTTTTGTCTTGTTTAATATGTGCACCAGACAGATTGTTACTGCCACTGTCAGTCCCAGGTACCAGTGCGTGGAGCTGGGCATCAGAGTGGGAGAACTGGTGCTGGTCCAAGGTAGGAAATAACTCCATCCTTTCTGTCATGGGCCTTGGACATGTTGCATGGGAAAATGCTGGTTGCAGGCAGGAAAGGAGCACATTATCCTTCTGCCTAGTCCCGTGTCATTTTTGGACAGCAGGAGCAAGAAACATATGCTTTAAACCCCCTACAAGCAACGATTGCAGTTAATTGTCATGGATAGGTATCACAGCTCTCCCCATGTGGAGGTCCTCTGTTGGAGAGCACCAGGGTGGAATACCTCCTGAGAAATTTCTTTCATAATTCCTTACTTTTATATAGAAATAAGTAAAAGGAAAATAAAAAATAAAAGAAAAAATATATTCCCCTTATCTGTGGGACTAAAAATGCAGCAGACATTTTCATAAACGTCTGCTCAAGCCTCTGGAAGTTATGTACACATATGATTTCAGACCTGACTGCAGAATATTTTACGAAGCAGAACTTCTCTGACTTTTTTTGTAATGTCCTTCTGTTCTGCCAAATCCCAAAAGAAGTGTCCTCTGCTGGTAGGCATTTTAAATAATAGCTTGTTCCTTTTCTCCCCTTTTGCAATACTGTTTCTCTGTTTGGTTTCCTTCCATCAGTCACATCATAGTCTTCATTAATCTTCAAGGAATATTTATGTTTGGGTGCTATTCACCTGGAAAGAGCCTCCCTCAGAACAGCTCTTAGTGCTGCTGCTCTGACAGAAAGATCTCTCTTACACAGAGCTGATAACACAGTCTTCACCCCTGCTGGCAGTCTGCTGGGAAAATGAATCCTTTATTCCCAGGACTCTTGTTAATTTAATTATTTTTGTACTGTTCAAGTGTTTTTTTCAAAAGCTGACTTCCTGCAAACAATGCTCTATACTGCTGTGGTAATACACAAATGGTTTAATCATGCATCTGGCAGTTTCTGCTGCAGAAAATGTTTTCTGCACCTAAGAGATCAGGCAGACCACTTCTGAACTCCAGAATTTAGATATCTAATCTCTTCTGACAACCAAACCCAGAATTAAATGCTGTTCACTGGGAGGCAAAGTGGAGAACAATGGCACTTGCCAGCCCTCATTCCCATCTCAGTGTGCCACACACGCTTCAGCCTTCGCCTGGCTTTAGTCCATGCTTCAGATAAGAGGTCACTCAAGACAATAGAAATTGGTTCCAGGCAATGTAGGGCACTCGTAGTTGTTGTTTTAAAGTACATATTTTATGTAATATATGTACACAAAAGGCAAAGCCTCCCCCCAGTTTTGGGCCCCGAGTGTCTGTCTTTAAGACAAGCACTCATCTGAGAGCTGCACTCCTGCTCCCATTACTTGCCTGGAATAGAGCCTCTTATGCTTGGACAGAAGCTCTGAATATGTCTGCAGAAATATCAAACCATGGTGTATCCTGGTATCACAACTACTGAGGAACTCTCCCTAGGTAGGCAGAATGCTCTAATGGCTTAGGCCCAAGAATATCAGTTTTGTACTCTTGGCTGTGTCACTGATTGACTGATGAATTCCACCCAGTGATTCACCACTTCTGGGGTCTTTCCCTTTCCCTTTCCCTTTCCCTTTCCCTTTCCCTTTCCCTTTCCCTTTCCCTTTCCCTTTCCCTTTCCCTTTCCCTTTCCCTTTCCCTTTCTCCATTGAACTTTATGATCATCCACTGACAGCAGAGGGTTTGTCTGCTTGTATTTGATTTGCTTGTCCAGTTAACAAAATCCTTTTCAATGCAAATCACCACAGGGTCTCATTTAAATCCAAGCATAATTCTGGAAGTAATTCCTGAGTTCCATAGTTCTGGATGCCTCATGTCCTCTCATCTGCCACCTCTGGGTTCTCCTGGTCTAATTTCTCAGAGTAGGCTTTACTAGAGATGTCTCCTGTCAGACTCAAACACTGCTGTCCCTGTGTGGGTAATGTGATCTAGGAAACACAAATGTCCGATGCCAATTCAGAGCCAGGGCCTGCCAGCTCCTCACAAGTAGAACCATGCTCTGTAGTAAAGCCATTGAGCTGCTCAGGAACTTGCCATTATTTGCCTCAAAAAGAGGTAGCAGGTTTGATCTCTGCAGGAGCAAAGCTGGGCGGTAGACATCAAGAAGCACCTAATAGCAACACCTGGAAATGTAAAGGAAAATAGGTGGATCTGGTTCTGGTCTATGTTATCACAAGTTACTGCTACCTTTCCAACAAACCTACCTTCAGTGCTCTGAGTCTGAAAAGTAAAAGAAAAAGACACAGTTTTTGGAAGTTCATTATCACAGAATCACAGAATTACAGAATGGTTTGTGTTGGAAGGGAACTTAAAGATCATGTAGTTCCAACGCCCTGGCCATGGGCAGGGATACCTTCCACTAGACCAGGTTGCTCCTGGTCTAACTTAATATGTAAAATTAGTTCCTTTGCATATTAAGAGAGGAGACTGATCTTAACTGATCCAATGTTTGGAACAATCCCATCAGCACGTTTTTCAGGTAAGTGTGAAGGTCTCCCCACTCCAGCAGAGTCAATGGAGACGTTAGCTCCTCTGGGCAGTAATTTACAACACCCAGGCTGGAAGGCTACAATCCCAAATAGGAGATAAGGGTTCTAGAAGTACATCCCAGTAAGTCCACATCCATTCATGTAATGGCATATGCATTGCTTATGATCAGGTAGGAAACAGCTGTGTCTGGGGGCTCTGACCAGCAGTGTCATTCCCAGAACTTGAGCTATCCTATTTGAATTCCTCTCATATCACCTCCAGCATCACAGGCACCTGTCAGGTCCTAGTCCAGTTTACTTGCCTACTTTTCCCAAGTTTGACATGTAAGATTACACATAAAATTGTCTTGGCCACATTTCCCTACTATACCAAATACACCATGTTTGTTCAGGAAGAATATCCCCCTGCCTCTCAGTGTTGCTGCCATGAGGAAATACACTGTATGTGGATATGTTGCATTTTTATGCTAGATGGTGAGAGAGGAGGTGGCTGCTGAGGGGTTCACTTAAATGAGTCCACAGCAGTCTTGCCTGAGCCTGAACTGAAATCTCTGTGGGATGAGTTTGTTCTGCCTGAGTGATGGGAGGGGAAATAGCTCCGTGAGCCCCTTGTGCCCCCATTCTGGGCCCTCCAGACCCTGGGAGCTGGCCATGGGCTCCCTGTGCCCACAGGGCACTGGGTATCACACCTGTGAAGGGGAACTCCGCTTTCTGGCAACCTTGAGAGAATCCTCCTCTGCATCCCCATCTTCATCTTTCTCATCCTCAATCCTCCCTAAGAGGGGGCTGCCACACCTGGGGATGTTACACCACAGCAAAGCCCTCCTCACCCAGCACAGTCAGGTACATATGTGCAGCCCTGAGTGAATCTGTTTTCTGTCATGGAAACTCCTCAACTGACTCCCATCTCCCCAGCAAGAGAGCAGCTCACAGATGATTTGGAAATCACTCTCTGCCAAAATAGGATCCCTGCCATTTGACCAGAAAATCTGTGTTTCAGATCTCTGCAGGAACAGAAACCCTGTCCTTTCACCAATTAGAAACTTGGAAGACATTCAAGTAGAGGAAACCAAGAAAATTATGCTCACAGTGGGTGTTCTAGAGATGGGGGAAGCTGGCTCTGGCAGGCCTACAGGCAATTTTAAAATACCAGCAAATATCACTCTTGGGATAAAAAGCTGCAATTAAAGTACATTTACATCAATGGATTCCCCTGATGTAAATCCTCTCTTCCTTCTGCTGGTAATTTATAACTGGTAGTAAATAGGCAAACGTGTATTTCAGCACTGAATGTATTAATCCTGTCTCCTGCACAGTGGGATGAAGTGTTACCCTTGCACATCCTGGCAGGCTTGTGCACAGAGAAATATTTCTGGGGATGATAACTGAGCTATGCCAGGCAGTCCTCTTACATGTATACAACTTTGTCTTCACAGCCAGCAAGCCAGAGCCTGAGCCCAAAGG